ATATATATATATATATATATATATATATATATATATATATATCCAAGTTTGAAGTCAGTTTGGAGTCAGTTTGTATAGGTAGTTAGAGATCGTAAGGAGCTCAAGTCAACACCTCCTACTCCATCACCGCCATCTTCGTCTCTTCTTGGTAAAGTGCTTTGAGTATCTTGAAATAAGATAGAAAGGCACTATATAAGTACAGTCTATTTACCATTTACCATTTATCGACAGAGTTAATGTGTCTGGTGAACACTTCTATTTCCTTGGCTTGGATTTTGACTCAGGTGTCATCCCCATATCGGAACCAATGGCTTGGCGTTGTTCCCTCATAGGAGTGTAGGGTTCTCTGTTCTACTTCCTCCATGTAGAGATTGGCAACAATGGGTGACACTGGAGATCCCATGGCACAGCCATGCTTCTGTCTGTAAAAACTGTCATTGAACTTGAAATAAGTGGTGGAAAGGCAGAGATCCAACAGGGTGCAGATCTGGTCTGGGGTGAAGTTGGTCCTGTTGATTAAGTCCTTGTCTTGTAGAAGTTGTTTTGTATGCAAGTGAAAAGATAAGTCACATCATATGATACAAGAGTTTCTCCTGGGGTTAGTTTCAATTGTTGAACTTTGTTGGCAAAATCAATGGAGTTCTTTATGTGATGATGTGAGTTTCCAACAAGAGGAGCTAAAATACCAGCCAGATGTTTAGCAATATTGTATGTCTGAGTTTATGCTGCTGACGATGGGTCTGTGTGGTGTTCCTTCTTTGTGTATTTTAGGAAGTCCATAAAGACAGGGAGTGGCTTCCCCTGGGTACAATCTATAATACAACAATTGATTGATTGTTTTCTCCTTTTCAAGTTTCTGCAGTAATCTGTGACTTTCTTTTTATAGGTGCTAGTTGGGTCCCTCTTCAGGGTCTCGTAGGTGTTGCTGTCGCTCAGTAGTGTAGTTATTTTTCCTGGTAATCAGAAATGTTGAGGACTACTGCAGCTGTGGCTGAGTGGTGAGAGAAGTCGTCCTCCAATGCAAGAGTTGGGGGTTCAAATCCACCAGTAGTCACATGTCAAAGTGTCCCTGGGCAAGACACTGAACCCCTCACTGCCTCCAATGTGTGTCCCATCGGTGTATGAATGTGATAAAGCTCTGATTAGTCTCTTTAGAATGATTTGTTCAATTAGCTTTGTAGAGATCTAATAGAGAACTGTGTGAATGGGTAAATGAGGAAACAGATTTTGTTGTTAAGCTCTTTGAATATCTTAATCAGATAGACAGGTGTTATATAAGTACAGTCCATTTACTGTGCATCTTCCTTTGTCAGCTGGTAAAATGGTGATGTTTTGGTCCTGGCTGAGTGAAGTTATAGCTTTCCTTTCCTGTGGAGTGAGATTTGAAGAAGGCGATTTGGCACTGGAGAGGGTTGCTGATATTTTCATTCTGAGTTGTTCTGCCTCTGCTTCCGTCAAGTTATTGCTCCTAATCGCAGATTCAAAGTAAAAGTTTAATCAGGTAGAGTAAAAAATAAATATAGTAGAGTAATAAATAGAGTAAAAGCTTAATTAATTATTTTTTTTTTTTTCCATGTTTGAGCTTGTAATCACAGTTAATTGGTCGGTTCCTGGTCGGGCTCAGAAAAAAGATATGGGTTCAGGCTGGGTCGGATTTTTTAGGCCTGAATGAAACTCTAATATGCATAGACGTATACACATGAAAACCAGTCATAGAAAAAAAGTCACGATCTGTGTTATTTGCTTGATTTTATACTCCTCTCAGCTCAGCCGAATTCACAGAGTTCAGTCGTCGTTAACCCGGGCCTCGGCCGATCTGACATGGTGTTGCTTTGATGAACTCACGTTAGTTTTGGCAAAAGTGTTTTACTTCAGATGCCATTCCTGACACAACTTTCACCATTTACCCAGGCCTGGGACCAGTGGTACCAGAACAGGGGGTCCAGGGGTCCATTGGTCCCTACACATTATGGCCCTGTCCATCAGCTAGTCCCAGACATTTACACAGGCTACACCCAATGTTCCCTCTAAGCTGCGCGCCTGCACAATCGCGCACTGCCCGCACAATCCGGCACTGCCCGCACCATCGCGCACTGCCCGCACATTCTCTGCGCACAAGAAAATCTATGCTGCGCAGTTAGATCAACTGCACAAATGCCCAAGCAAAGCATCTAGTTATCTCCTGCTTTATAATAAACTGTCAGCCCGAGCGCAGCGGTCCCTACAATCTGTCTGTATGCAGCACATTTGCATGCCGATCAGAGGAAGAGACACCCCTCCCAGTCAAAACAGACCTGTGTCATGTGATTTGTCTAGCAACAATGGAAGTTTACAAAGAGGTAAAAAATTCAACCAATGAAATTACAGGTGAACTTTCATTCCAGCCAATCAGCGCCTTCAGGAGTTTTGGCAATGATGTGCGAAGAAGCTAAGTAGCTACAAGCAACCACTTTGGCTTTAGCGTTGTCCAAGCTTTGTTACTGCATATTTCATCGCATACTGAGGAATAATATTTGTGGATTTACCACAGAAGTTTACAGTCATCTGACGTCAAACAAAGGCGGTAAGTAAGCTAATCCCACGACTTGTAGCCGTTTTAATCATGCTAAGTGTTAGCAAACAGTAGTGCTCGGTGTATATCTGGATGGGCAAAGGAAAAGTTTACAAGACAGTGGTGAGACCAGCTATGTTGTGTGGTCTGGAGATAGAGACATGGACAAAAAGACAGGAGACAGAACTGGAAGTGGCAAAATTGAACATGTGTGCCTGACATTCAAGGTGCGTATGAACAGAGAGTACAAGGTGACGAAAGACCCCACGGCCCCCCCACCTCAAAAATGAATCAGATGCCGCTGCCTGGGACCAGAACTAGAGATACAATGGCTTGTGCTCCCTAATAGCTGGTTTATATTAAATTATATTATATATCTATTTTCTACTTATTAGTTGTAAATCAAAGCAGTAGTTTGGAAGTTTTTCTTTGTGCTTTGGCGGAAATTGTTGATTTCATAAGATAGAAACTCAATAAACAAATTTTTGAAAAGAATGCCTTTAATAAGTTTTATTCCTCCTCACGAACAAAATATGATTTGTAAAATACTCTTTGTGAAAAGTTGTACTTATTGAACAACCAGCTCAAAAAAAAAAAAATTTGGATGTTTGCTGCTACACTTTCAAAGCAGTAAAATAACACATAAACAAATAGAAAATGAGCAAGACAAGGTCTTAACACAGAACCTATAAAGCAGATTTCACTCCATAACTATTGTAGTTACCTGCATCACTACATGTTTTACTTACAGCTCTCCACTTCCAGCATGGCTTTAGTCAGGATACTGCCAGCCACACTGATGGCCTGGCAGATGTAGTAACCAGAGTCTTCCACCTGCACATCAGTGATGGTGAGTTCACCACTCAGTGACACGGAGAAACGACCGGAATGGGAAGACTCTTGGATGGGGAACAACAAGATCTGAAGAGAAAAAGAAAACATAAAACTTTTTTATTTCACTCCTTATCATTGTGTGAATAGTAACTCAGCATTTACACCTTGGGTCTGTGTCATTTGTTTGATCATTATTTTTGCAATTTAACTACTGCATACACTGAAGTTTTAACCTATGATAAATCAGAAGATGAAGTGGTAAAATGACTGTACGTGTGTGTGTGGGGGGTATATTTACTCATATATATATATATATATGTGTGTGTGTGTGTGTGTGTGTGTGTGCTTGCGTTTGTGAACCCTTATAATTTTCTATATTTCTGCATAAATATGATCTAAAACATCATCAGATTTTCACACAAGTCCTAAAAGTAGACAAAGAGAACCCAGTTAAACAAATGAGACAAAATTCTTCCGCTTATCCGGGGTCGGGTCGCAGGGGTAGCAACTTAAGTAGGGAGGCCCAGACTTCCCTCTCCCCAGCCACTTGGGCCAGCTCCTCCGGGGGAATCCCGAGGTGTTCCCAGGCCAGCCGAGAAACATATGCCCCTTTTCCACTATCACGGCGCAGGTCGGATATTTCCGGCTTCACGCGTGTTTGAGGTCTTTCCACTGTTCCTGGAACCGGCTCGCCTCCCTAAATTCTGGCCCGGCTTCTCAAGGGGTCCAAGCGAGCCGAGCCGTGACGTCAGAAACACTGTTGGTCACTGATTGGTCAGGGGGAGGAGTCTGTGGAGTCTTTCCAAACAAACCGATCCGCCATTTTTTCTCTACCGCTTGCCATTAGCGATAACTCGAGGAGCGTATCTTTTAGTATTTTGAAGCTATAAAAAAACAATAATATCAAAGCTGTGGTCAAATGCAGAAGTGCAGGTCTTGTTGTGCTTGGTGGCCGACGAAAAAAGTCAAAGTGAGCTAGATGGAGCGAATGGAGGGTGGTTTGGACACGGCCACTGCTCTACTTGAATCATTTATAGAAGATGGTGAGTGTTTTCTAACTTTAAACATATTTTAAGTTATCCAAAAAAGTTCAATCTGGTCCTCTGGACATTCAAAAAAAAAAAAAAAAAAAAAAAAGCAAAAAATCTAGAAACGTTTTGTCTCTCATCCAAGAGACTTCCGCAGTCTGAGGTGCTGTTTTCAGCTCATTCTCTTAAATAGCACCTTCTCAGAGTGGATCAACCAGTTTGATGCTGACCAGTGGTCATTCCGTATGTTGAGGGGGTATCAGAGAAACTGAGATGTTTATTTTCTAAACATAACGTCCCAGTGGCTTTTAAACCCCAAAATACATTACGGCAAAGACTGGTTCATCCCAAAGATCCAGTCCCCCGGCACAAACACAGTAATGTTGTGTATGCTGTTCAGTGTCAGGAGGGCTGTGATCAGTCTTACATCGGGGAAACTAAACAGCCACTGGCCAAAAGGATGGCCCAGAACAGAAGATCAACATCATCAGGCCAGGATTCTGCGGTCTACACTCATCTCCAGGCCAGCGGTCACTCTTTCAAGGATGAAGATGTTCACATCCTGGACAGAGAGGAACGATGGTTTGAGAGAGGAGTAAAGGAGGCCATCTTTGTGAAAAGAAATTGTCCATCATTAAACAGGGGTGGAGGCCTCCGGGTTCAACTGTCCCCCTCTTACAATGCTGTGATTGCTAGTATCACTCAGCCCTCTGTGAGTAGTAAACAGCCATCAGTGTGCTAATGACCCATTGTTAGGCTGATGGTCCTTCTTGAGCATGTGATCAGCTGGTTTTGGTTGTCAGCAGCAAACTGGTTGATCCACTCTGAGAAGGTGGTATTTAAGAGACTGAGCTGAAAACAGCACCTCAGACTGAGGAAGTCTCTTGGATGAGAGACGAAACGTTTCTAGATTTTTTGCTTTTTTTTTTTTGTTTGTTTGTTTGTTTGTTTTTTGAATGTCCAGAAGACCAGATTGAACTTTTTTGGATTTCTCTACCTGGATTATTGAGCATGCATCAGGATATATTTTAAGTTACTCATCCCATCGGTTCTGAACATATTTTTAACTAACAAAAGAGGCTGACGCCATAATAGGACAACGTCGGTGCTACGATGCTAAGCTAATTTGCATAAACGCTAACTGTCCTCCGGTCCCGTTTCTCACTGTATTTTATCCAGAACGTATTTCAGCGCGTGACGGTTCGTCTCTAAACTCCACATTCAACCCTCCAAGCCTCCCAGCTTCTGCTCCTGCTCCATCAGCGGAGTCTGCACCTGACAGAGCAGCACAATGCTGCAGCCTTCTGTGCTCGGTAAGAACAGATGCAACATGTTCCACATCACTTTATTTGTGCCGATAAGGACTTTATTTTATTTTATTTTTAAAGTAAAAACATAAAATGTTGAATAAATACTGAATTGGGATGAATTTATGTACACAGGGTCCCAGTTACACACAACAAAATGTAAAATAAAAACAGTAATAAGATCTAAGATATGAATTAAGAAAAATATTAACTAAAAAAAATCTACTAATAATACACTAAGCACTAATAGCAGTAAACAATCAAAACAATACGTCAAACAGCAACATGAACTTGAGTTTGTGCAGCCTTATGAATATCTAACCAGGATAATCATGTTGCTGCTGATTTGTTTCATGTTGCTGCTGATCTGTTTCATGTTGATGTGTTTATTCATGCTCATCTGTTCACACAGACTCATGTCCGTGTTGCTGTTCGGCGTATTGTGTTTATTGTTTTTATGCTATTAGTGGTTAGCATATTATTAGTGGACGTTTTTCTTAGTTCATATCTTAGATGTTATTACTGTTTTTCTTTTACATTTTATTGTTGGATTTAACTGGGAACCTGTGTACATAATTTTGATCCACCACATGTACCACATGTGGTGCGAATGACAATAAATATCTGCATCTGTATAATACTTTCTGATCCATATATCCACTGTTATTATTATATTATTTTCATTATTTTTAAATCAATTTATTTTTCATTTTCTTATTTGATCAGTTTATTATTATTAATATATCTATTATAGCTGTTAGCTGCACCTTTCTTTGTTTTATGCATTTATTCAAAAACAGTATATCTTGAATTAACCACCTTTTTCTTCTTTCTAGTGAAGAGAAAGAGAAAAGAGTCCAGTAAAGAAAAGTCTTATTTTATCACTGAATGAACATGAAGAACTGAACTGGACACAGCAGGAACAACACTTGTGTCTTCTTCTGGATGAAACCCGTGAGACAAGGGACAGACAATCATTAGTTGGACGCAGTATTTTTTATTTTTGTACATTTTTCACTTCTTACTTTTCCTATTAAACTTTTTTTTTTCTTAAGCGGTGTCCTTGAACATTAAATTTCCTAAACAAATTTTACAATGTTAAGTGCATATAGTGTTTGTTTAAATTCATACTGGAAGTTGAGAAGAATTTCCAATTGCATTTGATCTTTAATGGATCCTAAGAAAATATTACCAGAATCTGCTCAACTGTTATTATGTTATAATTTTTGGGTTCTAGGATGAAGTAAGACAAAAACAGTCAAAAATTCAGAAAAGACAGTTATCAGTTATCAGTTATCGGCCGTATAACTGTGGCCCGAGAGATTCAGCTGAAAGTCCTGGTGCACCTTTTATTTGAACCTGCAGAGATTTGAACAGCTGATCTGAAGCAAACAGGCAGGAGTTCACCTGAACTGACCACTCCTGCTGTGTTTGATGGTCTCCTCCTTCGCCATCCGTCTGTCCATCCATCCATCCATCTTTTGCTTCAGGGTTGTGGGAGCAGCAGCTTTACCAGGGAGGCACAGACATCAACAGCCACCTCTTCAACTCTTCTAGGACCCCATGGTGTTCACAGACCAACTGACTTATTTATTAAGTAATATCCTGATGCTGCTCAATAATCCAGGTAGAAAAATCTAAAAAGTTAAGCCTGGTCCTCTGGACATTCACAAAACAAACAATACAGTTTATAATATATAAACAATAAATGCTGGTGAAGATTCTCAGTCATCCAGGACATGATGAATTCAAAAAGCGTTCAATACAAAAACAACTGGACTTTATTTGTAACAGAAGACGTTTCGCTCCTCATCCGAGGAGCTTTCTCAATTCAAAGAGCAGAGAGTGAGAGATACAGGTTATAAGGCTGAGTGAGATAAGACACACACACACATATATGTAGATTGGCAGTTCACACCTAAAAACCTAAAACAGTAGGTCTTTGTTCCTCTAATTCACAGACGAGGCCCCCTCTGTTCCCATCAGGTGTGAAAACCGGCTGGGAATCTGTTTTAAAGTTGCATTATATGTTTTTGAAAGTGGAAATCTGAGGCCTCCTCCTCTGTTAAGAGACGGTTTTTCTCTTTTTACATAAATCTTATGTCTTATGTGTGTGTGTGTCTTATCTCACTCAGCCTTATAACCTGTATCTCTCACTCTCTGCTCTTTGAATTGAGAAAGCTCCTCGGATGAGGAGCGAAACGTCTTCTGTTACAAATAAAGTCCAGTTGTTTTTGTATTGAACGCTTTTTGAATAAACAATAAATGTTTTTTGTTTTGTTTTTTGAATGTCCAGAGGATCAGACTTAACTTTTTTAGATTAATAAGTAATAAATTTATGTTTTTAAATTTAATGAAAGACAAATCTTTAAAATTTAAGGACAAAATTTAATCTAATTGTTTTCAAATCTGTAGCTTAATGTAAAAGCAGTTTCAAAGATTACAGCACAGTGTGATGTTTTGCAATTTTAACATGAACCTTGTGCATATCTGCAAATAAAAGTGAAGCTATTTTTAATACATCTTTAGTGTAAAAATCTATACTAAAATGAAAAACACATGGATTTAAAGCAGGCAGGGAATGTAGGATTATGAATCAGGTCATGAGGTACTCCATTAGAGCATGACATCTCTTCCACAACATCGTGTGACAAAACCTTCAGGGTGTTCTTCTAATACGTTTAGTGGTGGCTAGTAAGTAGCTTAAGGGAGCACTACCGCCACCAGGTGGTAAGACGAGTTGGATTCTAGT